ACCCCACTCTAGGGCATTTTCAATATCAAGCTGTCAGCTGTTAGTCGTCTACGATTGAAGACATCTCCACATAAACATGATAATTTATGCAAGCTAACGAGTTTAAAACTAAGAGCTTTAACCTTCATTATTATGTTTATGGGTAAATTAGTTAGTTTTTTTTTCTATCATTTAATTATTTTATCTACCGATATAAAGTATTTTTATATATACGTTTATCGTTTCTCAATTATTAAAACAAGCTCAATACCTGCCTAATTTAATGTAACAGATTCCCTGTGACAGGTTCGGCAGTTTCTCTCAAATTACTTCAATAACGTTCCAAGCTATAAGTAAAGTTATATTTTACTTTTTGTATTTGCTAAATCTGACTTTATTATACTCGTTACACGTAGAGTAAAAAGATATATTAGGCGTTTCCGACCCTATAAAGTAAATATATTATTGATCAGTATCAATAGCGAAGACGATTGAGCCATGTCCGTTTGTCCGTATCAACGCTGAGATCTCAAAAACTATAAGAGATAGAAAGTTGAGATTAAGCATTAAGATTCTTGAGGTTCATACGCAGCGCAGTTTATTTCCGCAACCTGACACGCCCACTCTAACGCCAACAAATCACGAAAAACGAAAATAGCTGAAATCTCAGGAGTTATTAGAGCCAGAAAGTCAGTATGTATAATCTTGGGATGCCAGCGCATCTTATGGTGATATCTCGGTAATTTTAAGTGATAGAAAGTTCGGATTAAGCATGTAGGTTTTTATGATTCTCCCAATGCATACTTTTTTCTGATTAAGCCACGCCCACTCTAACGCAAACAAAACCCGAAAAACCACAAATGCGAAAATCTCGTGAACTATAAGAGCTAGAAATTTGTGCTTAAGAATACGTATTTAAGAGATACGACTGCTGCCTGCCTCTAGTTGTCTGGCCATGCCCACTCTAACGCCCACAAACCGCGGAAAACTGTGGCGTCTATCTTATAGCGTATCTTATAGTCGCGGCTCTCGACTATAGCGTTTTCTCTTGTTTTTTTCCGGGTATCATCACTATTATTTTCTGACCCAAATTAGTGATATTTGAAAAAATTTTATGATAATATAATATGTAAACTTATGTCAGACAATCAGTTTCATATATTAGAAATATATAAACCAAATAGTTTGCCGTTGCTCGACAAAATAAAAAACTAGTATTTGCAAAAGTCTCTCTAGCGAAGTTAATCGATTTTTAGCAGCGATTCCTTTTTCACTAAACAACTATTTAGTTGTTCTGCAGGGCCGCCTGGCAGGTGTTATACCTTTCCACTTGGTCATTGCCAGTCCGCCTCCTTTCAGATCTAAGTGTTTTCTTGGAGCTCAACTTAACTTTCACTTCGTTAGACGAATAGGACGTTATCACCCACCGGCCCACAAATTGGTGCATTGTTTGGGTCAAGGATGCAGCTCAAAGGGTACTTTGACATGCTGCGCCCTGGGGTTAATGTGGGCGTTCATTCCACTGAGTTGTATGTCTTGGCCTGAAAGCTTTGAACTGAAAGTAGTTTTCCGTTTGTTCCAATGCTCTGTTCTTCTGAGGTGGGGTTGAAAATTATTCGTGTCGTGGGTGAAATTTTCTAGCAGCATTTATAAAACATTTAGCAATGTCTACCGGTTACTACTTATGTTATCTACGAAAGGTGTTTTAGTAGATGGGTCTTTCAGCAATAACTGATTCATAGCCATTCAGCTTGGGATACATATTCCCTAAACATGTATAATTTTTGTAAGATAAAGTATAGCAATTCTCTAATATTCTTCAATATATGCAGTAAAAATGAAACTTAAAAAAAAAAAAAGATGACATGCGTTTCAACCTCTTAAAGCATTTGCAGTTCAATAAATAGTTAGTTAGGATTGACCTACCAAAAACTTTTTTCTTGCCAAAGAAAATGGTAAGTGTTTTCTGACATCTGACCCCACCACCCAGTACCACACCCCCGACAGCTTTCGTCACATGATGTATCCACTCAATTGTACAACGCTTTTAAACAAGTAAAAGAAATAAAAACCCAAAACCCAAATCCCCAAAAAGAAGCAAAAAAAGCAAAGCGGAGAAAGGAGAGTGAATGCGCTTGCAGCGGCGGCTGCCAAAAATAAACATTCATCGGGAAATAGGCCGTTCTGCTGTCTTCCATAATGGTATAGTTATAGTTGTCTCACCGCCGAAAGAGCATCGGAGAGCTAGTGCAGCCGCCGCCAAGTGCAAGAGCAAGCTCCGTTCATCGGCATCGTTCGGCAATTTACGTCATCGCAATTGGGTGCACTTTTGGTTCTCTCCTCGCCTCTCCGTTAGGCGCCTATCCACCGCCCTCCATCCTTTCCATTCAAAATACAAACTGCACAGGCCAATAAGAACACAAGGCAAGAGTCAAGAATCGCTTCTATTTCACTGTCGCAAAATAAATATTGCCTATTGCCTATTAAATATATCACGAAGAATTGTACCTCGTAAATTTGCATATGGACTTTGCTGGATGCATATACGTAGGTCGTTTCAAAAGTAGTTACAATCCCATTTTCGAAATGATCAAAAAAAGGATAAAATTTTAAATAACTTAAAATTATAATTAATTTTTGCAAAAAAAAAAATTTCATTTTCCACTTTTTAAAGGTTAAACGTCTTTAAGACCAGTAAGAAGGTAATGCGATCACTTCCAGATCAGCTCGGCGTGATTCATAGCTCATTCACGCTTCCACCTCTAGATTCTAGAGCGTATCATGTGCAATTGGCCGCTCACTTCCTCTGCTGCCTCTTGGGATGGGTATGGGTGAGTAGTTTCGAGGGGGTGGACTAGTTCTGTGTGTATGTTATTATGTATGTATATATGTGCGAGAGAGCAGGGTCTGGTTGCAGCAGCGATTTTCGTCATGGCTCAGTGCTTTTGACGATTTCCTCTACGCTCCCGCTATCTCTCTCCCACATCGGACGAGCTGTAAAGCTGAAAGTTGCATGCGCCGCTCTCACACTCGCATTTGCATGTGCCCATTTGTGTGTGATGCGAGTGTAAAATTATTCATTTTTTTCTAAGGTTCAGTCTCAGAGTTGAAGGTCAGTTGATGCTTTATGTCATTCAACTTGGTGTCGGCGTTTGTTGATGTAGTTGTGGTTGTTGCTTTTAGCGTTTTCGTCATCGCTGCGCTAGTATTTTGCGTTTGTGCCTTTTCTACGCTAGCCGCTCGCGTGTCGTGCCATTCGTTTTGGGCGTGTATGCCGTCCCCTAGCCGCCCCAAGCATCCAATTCGCGCTCCCCTCAGGGGTGGAGAATGCAGGTCTGGTGGCAACTACAGGGCCGCAGACGCTTTATTGGATTTCCATTGCTAATAGGTTCAATAGACGATTATTGCAAATTAGCTTAGATGAATAGCGAGTGTGAGGTTATGTTGAAGGAATGCGCGTCATGGTAAAGGGTCATCCCCTCCAGGCCGGTAGTATACCAGCTATACACTGCTCTTACCTTCAAAATCGACAACAATATCAGAATTCTCACGGCCAACACAAGGAACGAGGGAATTGCGTGCTATTCTCCCGACCAAATGCAATTTAAGAGTTGATAAAAAATAAAATAAAGCGAAATTCCATTGAAAATTACAGAAAAAGCGTTAAAAAATAAAAGTCACATAGCAGTCATAGCGGCAGCGACGTCGGCTGGCAGCGAAATCAACACAAAAAGTGTGTTACAAAGTCACAGGCGCAAAAAAGCAGCAAGAACAGCAGCAACTACATACATAGGATATATGTATATCGGCAGCGCAGTCGCCATCAAGAAGAGCTTAAAAGCCACAGCGTAAAATACACAGAATGGCATCAGCAGCAGCAAGTCGGACTCTGCCAATAAGACCAGTACTAAAACCAGTTTTTATTTTCTCAAAAGTTCCGCACTCTGGCCCAAAGCCAGCAGAGCTACAACAAGAACACGTACATATATTTGGCCAAGTTCGCGCACAGTGGGCCGAATTCGGCTCTGAAACTAAATGCAAATGCATTTAAATATTTTAATAAGCTTACATCCTAACTGAATCTATTCAACGCTGTTCAACTAGAATAGGGTTAAAGGATAATAATAAATCTATGCGGTACTTTTTCCTTTAAAAAAAGATTGCATATTGTAAATCTGGATGTATGCGGTAATTTATCTGCAACGGTAGTCTAAGCTTTTATTTTGACAAATTCGAAATATGTTATTGATTTCGATATTTTATGACTCAAGTTTAAATGCTGATGCACCGTTAACACCAACATGAATTTGCAAGTTTGAAATCCATTATACCAACTTTTACGTATTTGAGCTTTCGACATCTTACAAATCAGATTCACAGAATTTTTTAAAGAAACCACCCACAGCTTTAAAAATATTGTACTCCAAATGGCTGCTATTTTAAAACATTAATTTACTTATTAAGAAAATAGATTCGCTAAAAAAACAAATTTGTATACATCAAAGGAAAACGGATAAATGAAAAAAGTTTCTAACCAGTTTTTATGACTTGATCGAAAATTATTAGGAAGAACATATTTTTAACAATATAATTTTAAGCACTGTGCCTGCTGACTGCTGCTGCTGTTTCTACTGCACCATGTTGTTGTTACTCTGGCCGCTTTAGACCGCCGCGAAAGTTGATCGAGCGCAGCTTAAGAGTCAAAATAGCGAAGCGCCAAAAAAAAAAAACAAAAATAGAGTCTGAGGAAATCACAGAGACCAAAAATCGGACTCGTGAGCAAAACGGCGGCATTGCCAAGCCGAAAAAGTCGGTAAGAGCGCATGCGCAACAAAGAGCAACAATTACAAACTGGCCCCCATCAAGAGAGGACGAGTGAAGTGGGATGAAGTGAGGCGTTTGACAGCGAGGGTGGTGGAGAAAAGAGAACTAGCCATAGAGAGACAGAGAGCTTCACCTGACAGCAGCGGCAGAGGACAAGCAGCGCTGTGAACGCAGGCGGTAGAGGAGGTGGCGTTGACGTTTCAGTTTCAGAGTTTCTCGAGTAATACAAATTACATCGCGCGCAGTTGTCGGTGGAAAAATGCAGAAAAATCGAAAATAAACTCGGATACCGTGCTAGAAAACCAGAGAACAACGCGTAGAGTGCCACAAATTTCGGATCAATTTACGCGCTGCACCCGATTTTGTATGTGCTCAAACTAATTTGAATTTGAAGTTATTGAAGCCACTGAAATTGTGCCGAGCTGGATATCTAGTGTTGTTGTTGTTGCTGCTGCTGGCGAGTGACACGTCCCCCTTGCGCCACCACCCCCTCGTCAATCATTTTATGCAGTTGGCGCTTGTTTACTCGCTCAGAGAGAGAGAGAGTCAGAACAAAAAAAAGAGAGAGTCAGAACGAGAGAGACAAAGGCAGAAAAAGAGAGCACAGAGTGTTTCTTTGGACAATGTTTAGCGAACGAAAAGAAAAGTAGCTTGTGCCTAAAACTGTTACACCTATTTCGACAGTGCCGTGTGCCAATCATACGTTCATTCAAAGTTTTGCTGACTCCTGAGTTTTTCAATTTAATTGCACCAACAACTAAATCGTCGAGATATGCACGTGTCTCGGCTCTGCAAATGCATTTCCTACCCTCTCTCTCTCTATTCCTCTCTGCAGCTTTCTCTCTCCTTACGCTCTTGATGACTCTCTCTCATCCTCTTATAGAAAATGCACTTGCACAGTGGGCCGATACTAGCTTTATAATACTGTTGAGCAGAGTTGAAAATGCAATAAAAATTTCGTTTTTTCCCTTTAGCAAGTGCTGAAAGGACAGATTTCGTGTTTTTGTTAATCTTAAAAATAAATAAAAAATATACACAGTAAAAAGTAAAGGAAAAAATCACAACAACGGATTATTTTAGAAATACAACATAAAAATGGGTGAGTGAGTGTAACTGCATCTGAAATAAACAAATAAATATTTAAAATAGCTTATGAGGGATTCTTGCATTGTGCTCTTGATTCTAGTTAAAAATGGGATTTTATACTCCTTAAATGAGTATAAAAGTATCGGTGCAAATAGGACAATGCTAAATTAATTATTTTAGGAATGTCAGTCATGTTAAGCAAACATTTAGTCCTAGTGAATGATCTTTCGCTTAATTAATGATTCTCTAATCATTTACTAATTAATAGATAAAAGGAAGCGCTTCCAACCCTTCAAGGTATACATATGTTTAATTGGGATCAATAGCTGCAACTATAAAGCGATGTCTGTATGTCTGTCTTTCCCTATAAACGCAGAAATTTTGGAAACCATAAGAGATAGAATATTAGGATTAGGAATGCGGATTCTGGTGAAGCTTACGCAGATTGTTTAAGAATCCTACTAAGTAAGAACATTTTGAATTAGGCGTGCATATTCTTAAGATGTCAGCGCATGTGTGTGCTTTTATCATACCACCATGCCCACTTTAACGCCCTCCAACCCCAAAAAATGTGTCGGTTTTCTGTATGAAGGTTGAGTCTGAGCGTGCAGGTTCTAGAGATGCCACTGCAGCGTATTAGTATCTAGCTACGCATCTATACCCACAAATTGAAACAAAACAAACTGAGTGCCGCAACTATGAGATACTCTTTGCTGTTTTACACAATTTTCATTTTTCTAATGGAAATTCACAAAGCGCCAGCTATTGTCAGAGAAAGCATGTTGAGTAACTGATGGTGACGTCACTGCCCATGTGAGGCCTTATAACCTACATTTCACAAAAAAACTTATTTGCGATATTATTTAACCACAGAAAGAGGGTCAGGCAATGCTAAATTGATCTTAATATACATAAAGGTATATATAGTACCTGTAACCTGTTACATTTGCTTAACGATTACATTTTAAAATTTCACTCTTCAAGTAACGGGTATAAAAGTATATGATTTCTTGATCAGAAAGAACAACCGTTTCGATCTAGCCATGTCAGTCTATGTTTTTCAACGAATTCAGAAATTCATGTGTAGTAAGGAAAATGTATTTAAAGCTTGTGTTACGTGTTATGGTAAAACTTGCATTGGGAAAGTAGTATTTTGAAAGACTATTAAACTGCAAATGAAATAGATTTAAAAAAATGCCAAAAGACTATTTGTTAATGATACAGAAATTTCAATATCTTCTTTTATAACACTTTTCCTGGACTTTTGTTATCATACATCGGAATGACTATGGTTTACAGAGCTCTGCGGCTAAGACCAAAACTGAAAACTGATTTCTTTCTCCTAATTGTTATGCACAGAAATTGCAGCTGCAATGTGCTCGGCGGCGGTGACAATTGGAAATGCAGATGAGTTGTGGTCGCCTCGCCAAGTTTTCCCTGGTGATTTTAGAAAAATACAACCCAAACGGAATTCTCCTGTTTTTTATGCAGCGGAAATGCATCATTTGCAGTGCGTCCCCCTCGATCGCTTCATCGCTCCGGCGGTCAGCCGGTCGTCAACCGTGTTTCTTGTCGGTCCGATTGTTTACCCACACCACGAAAAGCACAACAACAAGACCAACAACACGCCGGTCCGAGAAATTAGTGCAAGTGCAACATGCCAGAAGTAAAGCGAAACGAACCAAAAGGCGAATAAACTCTGTCGAATGCAAGAGGTCTAGTAGAGGGGTTGGATGGAAGGCTGTATAAAAGTCTGGTTCTGTTTTGCTATTTTTCATGTGCCACAAATAGATTTTAGTCTGCACAAGTGTCGCCGAAATTTTGCATTCGACTATCTTGTTGTGCTTTTTCCCGCCACACTTTCATTGGATATTTTTATTCGCCTGGTTGGTCAATTAAATTTTGATAGTCATTCTGAGGCAAAAGGCAGACTTCAGATGGGTTATGTAAGCATCAAATTAAATTGGGTCACAATGCTCGGATCTGGTCGGTAGATGGCTCGGCAGTGCTTCTGACCAACGCGGAACGACCTTATCAAGGATTCTGGGTCAATATGCTTACGCCATTTTGTCGGCGCCTCGCATGGTTGCGTACATTGTGTGGGTTATTATGGGCTTGTGCTTTGGGTGATTGCTTTGTGGGCGGTACACTTGAGATTTAAATTCTGTGCTAAAACAAAAAAGCCGCCTTTTGGGTGGCTTTGCTTTAGTTTAAGTCCTACCGATGCATGTAACACGTAGTTAAAATGCATTAAACTACTGCATTGACCTCGTTCGACTTCAGGTAATTTACAGCTGGTCATGCAATTTAATACCTGGGTACATGCATATAAATAATAAAATTACATGTCAAAGGGCGGCAAGAAAATTCCTCTAATAAAATGAATGATTATATTAGTGAAAATTCTAAGTTAAGGCCAATCAATATTAATAAGTTAACTTTTAATTCAGTGTACTTGTACATATTTTTAGTAAGGTGCACTGCTGTTTCTCAAAATCGCGACGTGACGAGCCGAGACCAACGGCCTCCGTGGCGCAATTGGTTAGCGCGTTCGGCTGTTAACCGAAAGGTTGGTGGTTCGAGTCCACCCGGGGGCGGATTTTTTTATGCTGCCATAAATGATAAATGATTTAATTTAATAAAAGAGTCTAACGATATAAAAACACAGACAATATTTTTGGTATATATTATTATTAGTTTTAAGTCTAAAGCTATAGTTGTTTAATGAAGAGTAATAATTGACCAAATACAGGCAAATCTAAAAAGAATGGTCGTCTTTGTGATTTGATTATATTTGTTTTCATCTTATAATAACTTATTCAATAATTTATTAATTAGGTTTTATTTTGATACTAAGAACCACTCTACTACAAAAAGAAAGATATTCGCCCCCGGGTGGACTCGAACCACCAACCTTTCGGTTAACAGCCGAACGCGCTAACCAATTGCGCCACGGAGGCTATTGAAATCGGATCATACTATAACTATTTTTATATTAGGGAAATTATTAAAAAATAATCAAAATTTTCAAAGGTTACAGAAAATATGAGAACCAAAAGGCGAGGGAACTCTGTTAAATGCACGGGGTCTAGTCGTGGGATTATAGGAAGGTCTGAATAAAAATCCGCTTCAGTATTGATATTTTTCATCTACCACAAATAAATTTCAATCTGCATAACTGACGCTAAGAATTTAATCTAAAGTTGACTTTTATCAAGGGTAAAAGTAAAAGTTATTGAAAAGTGTTTGAAAAGAAATCATTGTCATCCGCCGAATATTTTAAAACATTATCACAATTCATCATAAAATTATTATAATAAAATGAGATTTTCGTATTATGTGTCGATGAAAACACTTTTTAATAAAAATGTGCCCTAAAGAATTAAAGATTTCGAAGTACTTACATATGTAAAAACATATAAAAGTGTTGTTCGTTCATGAAAGCTTCCCACGTAACACCATTTGTAAGGTTATAAATTTGTTTGTTTTAATAAGAATTTTATTATATAATAAAGATAGTTTTGTAAAAGTTAAGAACTCAAAAAAAAAAAATATTTTACTAAAATGTATTAATTTTTTTTTTTATTTATAACTCCATATGTTTTAATTTTATATCTGAAATTTGTATTATAAAAGATAGAATAGCTTACAGAACCGAACTAATATATTTGATATAGCACTGGCTGCCGGGCTTTCGGCTATGTGAAAACTTCTGTTGTAATTCATAGGAGTTGTTTTGTAAATTTTGAATGCATTAAAAACTAAAGCTTCCCGCTTGACTTACTTTTGATATATGACATTACGTTGACGTAAGCCTCCGTGGCGCAATTGGTTAGCGCGTTCGGCTGTTAACCGAAAGGTTGGTGGTTCGAGTCCACCCGGGGGCGGATCCCTTTTTTCGTGATTATTATTTTTATTTATAATTTTTTTTTTAGCAATCGATTTGGTGAACTATGTGATCCTATGCGTACGGACACCATGAAGGCGTGGCCATGTTGAGCGGACAACCACAATCAAAGAAAAAGAGCTCGACGATACCCAGCCACATATCGCTGCAACAACAATTAGTTGCCTCTGCAGCCGCATCGTCCTCTGCAACAGTCTCCTTTTCTTCCTCGCCTGCCAGCAAAAGTCATGCCGCCCTGACCTTGCCTGTGGCCAGTGCAAATGGCGGCGCAACAATAACCACATGTGCAACCGCAGTCGAGGATAAACTGAGACCTATCCCCACGACAATTAAAATTGAGCCCATGCCGGACGTCATTGCCGTGAGCACGGCAGCCGGAGGATCCAGCGTTGCCGCCGGGGCATCTTCTTCAGCAGTATCTGCATCTTCCAATAAGACAAATTCGACAGCAGCGGCTTCGACGTCGGCTGCGGCTGCAAACGGGCATTTGGTGCTCGTGCCCAACAAAAGGCCACGTTTAGATGTGTAAGACTGCCATCTAAAAAATTACTTTGCCGGAAACCACTTGTGCCTCACAATTAATTTTCTCTGCAGCCCCGAGGATTGGATGTCCACTCCTAGTCCTGGTAGCGTGCCCAGCTCTGCGCCGCCTCTTTCACCGTCACCCGGCTCGCAAAATCACAGCTATAACATGTCCAATGGCTACGCATCGCCAATGTCTGCCGGCAGTTATGATCCTTACAGTCCCACCGGAAAAACAGGTAAGATATGTTTTCGTTTTTAATCAGTTTTTACATATACACGTTATTTTACTTACACATTACATGGAAAATATTGTAAATATAACTGAAGCATGAACAACAGGTGGCGCTCCATACGTGTTCAAATCTGACTCAGTTAAATGTGCCAGCGATGAAGAACAGATGGCGCAAAGTTCTAATTTTGTAGGTGTAAATTCGGAGTAATGTATTTTATGTGTAAAAAATCTCTGCTATCTGCAACTCAGATTCAGGAATAAATTTAGAAAAAGTGAAGCAAAAATAAAGCGAAGAAGAGTCGACTTAAAAAATTTCATCTCTTTTATAATTATACCCATTACTGGTAGAATAAAAGAGTATATTAGATTCGTTGAAAAATATGTAACAGGTAGAAGGAAGCGTTTCCGAACCACGCCCTCACGCCCACAAATCACTATCTTACAGTTGGCCACTTAGACTGTTTTTGCTTTTTGTAGAATCGCTGAGATCTTGGTAACTATAAGTAATAAAAACTTGGGATTAGGAATGCATTTTTTAATGATCCCCCAATGCGTTTTATTTTATTTACCATCTTTTACCATATTATTTTACCATCAAACCAAAAACGCTTTAATCTTGATAACTATATAGGTAGGGAGTTTTAAATAGACATACATATTTTTGAGATGATACTGCAGCTCGAAGTGGTATTTTCATGTAGCCACGCCCACTATAATGCCCACAAACCGCGAAAATCTGTGGCGCCCATAATATTAAAACGTACGTCTTTGTTTGACTTTGAGTATTTCTAGTTTAAATCTATGATTTACCAAAGATTTTTCAAATCAGACCAATATTTTGGTATACATTAAGAAATGTATATGGTTATAAGGCCTCACATGGACAGTGACGTCACCATCAGTTAGTAAACATGCTTTTTTGACAAAAGCTTTTTTTTCCCCATTTCCACTAGCAAAGTGAATATTTTAAACTTGTATAAAACAGTAACGGGTATCTTATAGTCGCGGGACTCGACAATAACGTTTCTTGTATCCAAACCTTTTCTTTAGGATTGACCTTTCTTGACCTTCCTTCATCAAATCATGAAAAGTGCAGAAAATCAGAAAAAGGTTTCCGTTGATGACGATGCACTGCATCTTCCATAATTTTTAACAGATTTTTAGATACAAGTGCACTTTCTTAGTGGCAGCGTCCGCTTAATTTATAAATATAAAATTTTGATTATAATCAGGAAAATTTGTATGACGCATGACAAAGCAAAACCAAACAGGGAATTAGGCACGAACGGGACATCGAAAGGAAACAAATACACTCCCCCGCGCTCAAAGATTCGGTCGAACACATAGACAGCGGCACACAGACATAAGCCGAGAACGTGCCTTTCACCTTTCACGTGAAAACGTGGCCAGCTCCAAGGTCATGGGCGCTGCAGACAAGGCAAATAAAAGGCCAAAACCCCCGGGCTAAGCAGCTACCACCCATCACTGAAACCCCGAACCCCCAGAAGGTCTATTCGCATCCAGACTAGGAGAAAATGTAAGCCTCGAAATTACCAAAACGCGCCGCAGTCGGGACGAGCAGACAGACAGATGATTATTCGGGGGAGGGTCGGTGGTAGGCGGCTATCTGACAATGGCAATAAAGTTGAAAGTTGAAGGTCACCAGACGTTTGACTGCACACGCACACACGGGCTGCGACTTCGACGCTGACGTCGTTTTTTGGCACTAAATGCTCGGCATCGTAAACTTTTCTCGTGAAAAGTGGGTGGAAGGCAGAAGGAACTTGGAGATGGAGCGCCCGCAAAACGCCTCACCGCCAAAGCCAACGCCCTCCAGCCTCCTAAAGTCTGCTCCTCTGGGTGGCTTTTACGGCTCCTAAAATAAAATGGCCACTGTCGGCCCGAAAATAATCGATCCCACAGGCAGGCTCCCTTTGTAACTCCCGCGAAATTGTGCGTGCGCTTGAACTTCCCTCGCGTTTACTTTGCTCACTTCAACTTGGGGATTCGTCTGGAGGAGCGCGGGCTGCGCCGACCCAAAAATCAATGGGGCACGGAGGTTGTGTGTGTAATGAAATCAAGCCAAGGCTATTGCCGCTCGGTGTAAGGACAAACTAAGCAGACATAACCCTTGTCCCCATCCTCTTCTTGGTTCTGTCTGGGGGGTGTTTTTTTTTTTGGCAATTTCACTTGCTATTGGTTTTCCCTCTCTGGTTGTGGGTTGGCTGCCGGAGGACGTGTGCAAAGTAGCGTATACGCAATTCCACAAACAATACTCTAAGAACCGAGTTAGCACAGAACACAGACCTTACTCCGATTTTTGCATTCTTACCACGCTTGATTTCTCGACTATTTTCCAACATTTTCTTGACAGTTTCATTTCATTGCTTTTGGGTTTTTGCTCGTTTGCTATAGTTGACTGCTGGAATCATTGATTTATGCGAGAGTGTGTAAGATTAGTTATTTGCCTGCTGCTGACAAGTACAAGGTCACTTTTAGAGAAGGCAATGTCCAGATTTTGGACAGCCTGGGCGCAGTATTTAATATATGGTATTCGTTAAGTTGGATGATTCTTGCAGAATTGAGGGAGTAACCTCCAATTAAGCTAACCGTCATTGCCCATGTGAGGCCTAATAACCTACATTTTTTTCCGATTTGAAAAAATTGTTGATAAATCGATAGATATTGACAAAAATATGTTATACAAGGTGAAACGAAGACGTACACTATAATATTATGGACGCCACAGTTTTCCGCGGTTTGTGGGCGTTAGATTGGGCGTGGCCGGAGGAAAACTTTTGTCGAGCTGCAGTGTCATCTCTAAAATACGTTTTCTTAAGCACATCTTACTAGCTCTTATAGTACCCGAGATGTTTGCACTTTTTGTTTTCCGAGCCTTGTGGGCGTTAGGGTGGGCATGGCTAGGTGGGAAAACAAACAATTCGCATTGGGGGCATCATAAAAACCTAAATTCTTAATCCGAATGCTGAAATAAACTTTCGCTATGTATGGACCTCAAGAATCTTCATGCTTAGTCTCAACTTTTATTAATAGCTTCGGAAACGCTTTTTCAACGAATCTAGTATACCCTTTTACTCTACGAGTAACGGGTACAAAAAGTGGACTCATAACTGTTAAATGCATAAGAGAAGCGAAATCCTTTCCTAAATATCGAGAACCCGAAGCTCTCCTAACACGCAAATTGGCATAAGAACTGCTGGCTGCATGCACTTTCCAGAGAAAACTTAGCCACGCCAAATCGAATCGATCATCGATTGGGCAATGTATGCGATTAGGTTTGCCCTACCTAATGTCTAGACGGACAAGAGAAAGCCCAGACTCAGCTTAATCTAAGCAGGACACGCAACGTTGGGCTAAGACCGAAAAAAGAGGAGGTGAAGGCCCAAAGACACAGCTTTTTCAGGCTTCCAATAATGATTATTCAATCATGCGCCTGAAACATGATAACCGTTGCCAGTCTGGCTCGGTGTCTGGACTCCAAAAAGGCTATGGGTATCAAAGCCGAGAACTGGTTTCGGCCGGTCCCCCTCACCTCCTCTTGCTTGCATTTTCTGATTCTACCTTAGAATTTGTAGCCTTACCAAAATGCGATCCTTCGTCTCTTCAAATTTGTCGCTGCGGTTCTGGTTCGTCTTGCTGTAGAGAGCCATTCAAGGTCTTTGCGGCTGCTTTGGGCTTCAGACGGAGGGATAGCAGATGCTTTTTGCCGGCCAGCAGGTACACTTGCTTGCCATTGTCTGCAGAGTGATGATCATAAAAAACAAACGACTCTTGCCTTAGTGTGTCAAATGGTCTGCAGGGGTTGCTAAACCACAGGGACGGACGGCGGTCTTGCGGACTTTGGTATCGTACCACGACCAAAGGCTATGCCATTGTGTTTGGGTCGGCACATGTTTGCGATTCTCTCTTCTGTGTCCGTTCTTGCTTGTATTCGCTATACATAAGCTTATATATATAGTTTGACCTTGATCTTGAACGTACATTTATATACATATTTATATATCTTCGTATATGAATGTTGGTTCCATGTGAGGAGGAAGACCGGCAGCGAGTAAGTGCGACAGCGGGGGGGACAAGGAAGCGAAGAGTCGAATGTGATAATACAGGGTCCTCACTTTTAATTGTATTCTTAATCTCGATCAAAATTCAAGATGTTGCAAGATTGTTATCCAGTTTTTGTTCAGAATTTTAGAAAAGATTGCTGCCGGATTAAATAAATCCTAACCATTAAAGAAAAGATAATGTGCAATTTAAAAATAATTTTGTGTATTTGTTAAAAAAAAAAATATTACCCTGCATTTAGAACTTTGATTTAGTAATGAATTGAAAGAGAATTTATAATCACAGGACCCCCCTGACACCCTATGCTAACCCAGTGCGCTTTTAACCCAATTAACTTTCCAACTGCAGCCTTCGCTGCCGAAGGGTTAAAAACGAATTTGAAACCATGGGACAAGCGTTACCTAATATTGTTGGTGTTGGTGCTCCCGTTGAGTGTGTGTGCGTGTGCTTCCGATACGTGGAAGCATAAATAGGCCAAATGCCATTAGCACAAGAGCTTCGTGCGACGCTGTCGATTCCAGAGTGGCGAGTTCTTGTTTGCCTTCAGCAGTTTTTTTTGAATATATAAATGCAGCATTAGCGAGGGTATGTGTGCGAATGTGCTTCATGCAGAACCCGCACAATTAATTCTGCTAAAAACAAGCAAAGCGAGGAAACAGGAGGAGGACCGACAAAAAATAACAAATTCCCCCGATACACTCGTATATGGGCGTATGGGGTATATACAACATGGGCATATGTGCGCATTGTTGTGTCCTTGAAATCCATGTGAAGTTTTCGCTTTCATGATAACGATCAACTATATAATGAAGCGGATAATCACACAGATAATCATGACGTTGCTGTTTTGATGGATACTTTGATCGGTGGCTCCCAGGCCTCAGATCCAATCCTTCGTTCTTGGGGCATACTAAACGGTAGCTAGGTGCCACAAATGAAATTTGGTCATTGTCTTCTTTCTAAGAAGAGCGAGAATGGGGTGTTGAATTCAGAGGACATTACCTTTAGCTTTTAAAATTTCAGAGTTTTCTGATGGCGAGCGACTAGAACTTTCGTGCCATTAAATAGGCATTAATAGAAATTATTCTCGATAGGTTTATAACCATTTTGTAAAAGGTTTGCCATTACTATTTCGTATTAGCGGCTTTTAACTGTTAAACAATAATGTTATTGCTTTTCGAAATATTTCCTTGATAAATCTCTTTG